CTGCCCTCAGCAGATATTCTGGAAGATCTGAAAGGGCTGACGGGCTGCCTGCAGGCTTGGGCACGAGGTTGGGTGTTAGAAGACAAGGAGCTCTGCAGTCACAGCTTTCCATCTCTCCAAAACCKTGGCACGGCGGCTCGAACTAAAATAGAGGCGCTGCCTCCTCCGGGTGCCAAGGCAGGAGCACCTCCACAGACCAGAGAGCTCCAGGATTCCATCCCAGCCCTGGAGAGAGGGAAATGGTTCCTCRGGAGCAGGAAAGGAACCAGAGCACCTCTGTTYAGAGGCCTGATCAAATCTAACACAGCTGTAAGATCCTCCCCTTCTCCGGTCCCTAATTTAGCATCCTCAGTCTGAGCCACTTTCCAGCTCATTTTTGCACCTTTCAGAGTCAGGAGGAGATTGGGATGCTCAGCATCTCCACAGAAACAGGCCCAGAGTCTCTCAAACCAAATTCCTTAAGAAAAAAAAATTTAAAAAAAAAAAAAAGAAAAAAATATCACAGTCTCCTCCTGAAAAACTGGTTCAAGATCACATCAGTGAGTCAGAAGCAAAGCTAGAAATAGCACTAGAGCTCCGACCTGCAGGCACAAATCCCATTAAAAGCTATAGGGGAACCGTTTCTCTGGGCRAGGCAGAAATCTGGACCCTTGTGCTCCGCTCGGGCTGGCAGATTAATCCCGGCCCTGGATCATCCCCAGCCCAGCCCTCACCGACCCTTCCCACCCTCAGCCCAACATCTGAGCACCGATCTGGGCCTTCTCTCCAAACAGGGACAGCCCAGAGCCGCTCTCCCACCAGGGATCTCTTTCCCCACATCGGCCGGGGTCAGCGCGAGAGGCGCCGGATCCATCCTGAGGAAGGGACTGGCCGTGCTGGCCCTGCCTTGGGGACAGTCACTGCCTCACATCAGTGACCACAGCAGCGTGGCCTCCTGCTTTTTGTCCCCATCCACCCCTGCCACGCCACTGTGGAGCTTCCCAAGGCAGACAGGAGCCCCCAGCTTGGAGAGTGGGGTTTGGATGTTGGGATCCCGCTCATGGATCTGCTCTCCCCTCCTGCCTGGCCTTGGAAAGCCCACAGTGCCCCAAACCTCTCCTCTCCAAAGGAAAACCCCACATTCCTCCTCTCCACACCCCGACAGCACCCATCACACGCCCGATACTTTGGCCAGCACTCGCCCAAACCACGCCAAGACCACAAAAAACCGGACACTCGGCAAAGTCTCGCCTCTGAAACAGCTGCAGCGAAAACACCAGAAAAACACCTCAAACCCAGCTAGGAATGGGATCACAGGGTGCTCAGAGATGGGCGAGCATCATCCCAGCACCTCAGACAGCTCCCCCTGCCAGCTCCTGTCCCCGCGGACCCACCAGCAGCCGGATCCATGGAATTTGGCTGGCTGCTCCGGGAATCGTGCCYGAGCCAGCGACTCTCGCCAGCCCCRTCCCGTCCAACAGGACGAGCTTCACAAGTCGGGATTTATTGCTTTTGGTTGTGTTGGCTTTTTGTGTGTGCGCCTGGAGGGGTTTCAGGGGCTCYCATTCCCGAGCTGCTGCCGCAGAGTGGGAGCAGAGGGATCCCAATAAAACAAAATCCCATTAAAGAAAGATGGGGACCTGWGAACCCCTGAACCCCAGCACCCCTGAGCCCCAGCACATGGGTGCTGCTGGTCTTCTGCCCCACAGAGAAGTGAGGACTGCCATGCACAAACCATGGACACTTGCAATTAATTATAGCCAGGCCTCAATTAGTCAATCAATCTATCAATCAATCAATCAATCAATCAATCAATCAATCAATCAATCCAATAAAACCGAGGAGGGATTCCACCCGGCCGAGCAGAGCCCCATCAGCCTGAGATGGATCCAGCCCTGGAGCAGCATTTGGAGCCATTGCTGTAGATATTTTAGCACCTGTTTTTTGTCAGGAGCAGGGGTTCCCTCTCTGAGGAAGGAAGAAAGGGTCTGGCTGACCCCTCCCCGAGCTCCTTGTGCCCACACTTCGTGCAATGATTCAGGGCTGATCATGCCCCAGTTCAGCTCAAATTCACCCCAGCTGAACCCTGTTCCACAGCCCAGGGAGGCTTTGCTCCACCGTGACCTTGGCAGAGATTTCCTCCCCTCTGCCCTGACCTGGCAGGGGAACAGAGCTCCTGTCCCTGGGGATGGCCAGCAATGGGGAAAACACACGGAACCCACACGGGGATGGGAAAGCAGGTGAGATTCCCCACTRTTCAACACCCCCACTGTCCCCAAACAACGCTGAGGGTGGAGAGGAAGCAAAGAGAACCTCAGGCTCTCTGCACCTTGACCCACCGCTCTTAAAAACCCTGGAAGAAGACAAAGCAAAGGCTCAGAAACACCAGCTCAGCTCCAGCCCACCTCATCCATCATAAAGGAATAAACCCCCAGCCCTGGGACTCAAAAGGAGCTTTCAAGCCCAAAACACACCTTGCCCTGGCGATCCCCTGGGCTCCAGGGGCAGGTCACCCTGCTCCAACCAGTGTCCCACCATCTCAGCACCCCTGAGCCAGGAAGCCCTCGATGCCCTGAGCGCTCTGTTTGCTGAGGATTCGGCCCTGCAGTCGCTCTCTAAATATCTATACACACACACACACACGGGAATTCTGCGGGAACGGCTGAAAACTGCTGAACAAACAAGCCAGGAGAGCCAGAACCCGCTCTTCCACCTGCTCCTCGTGCCCTCTCTGATCTGCCGTGGTTTCTGCTCCCGACACCAGGATTAATGACTAATTACTCGCCCCATAATGAGCGCAGGTGTTTAACTTTCAGCTCACCTTCCCTGGCTCGCATTGGTCGGCTCTTGTGTCTGGATGCTCGGACACTCAGGCTTTGCCTCGTTATCTCTCAGGCTTTGCCTTTTTTTCTATCCAACTGTTGTCAGCACACGCCTTCCCCATCCGGTTTTTAACTACAATGGAGATTTTTTTTTTAAACTCCCATGAATCTCCTTCGAGCCACCGGAGAATCTATAAACACTATAAACATGAATACTGTATAGTCTACTAAGAAAATAGATATTTGTGTGTGTATTAAATATTCAGATTCATGCAACAAATATCCATGCAGCTGTACTGTATTACCGGTTAAATTTCACTGCAGTATAAATATATTATAGGCCACAGCATAGTTGCTCCAGTTTTATATATAGATATAAAAAAAGATGCTTTTTCCAACTCATTTTCAATGTGTCAGTGGAGGTGTCTTTGGTGATCCTGGAAATATTGATGATGGAAGTGTCATCTAAATAAATAAATAAATTCCAAGCTCTTGATTTATTTACTCGTCCCTCCCGATGCCTGGCATAGAAAATTTAAGACTTAATAAATAATGTGCCGTCACACTAATTATCCCTCCCCTGGGCCTCACACTGGCACACTGCAGTGGCTGAAACTATTGCAGCATGCAGCATTTTCAGTTATGAAACACGAGCCGGGCGACGCGCTCGCGCTCGGCTTTCCCGGGGCAGCAACCCGAGCCCTCCAGCCCCGCGCCTGCAGCGGCCCTTCAGGAAGTTCTGCCTGACCTTTCCCAGCTGTTCCCCCTGCCTGGAAGCTGGCTGTCACCCGGGCCAGGGACTGGGATCCGTGGCACGCCGGGGTGGCCCGGAGCTGCCCAGAGCATCCCCATCCCGTTACTCCAAGCGCCCATCCCCTCGGTGTCTTTGGAAACCCGCAAAGCCTGGGACGGGAGAAGGGCAGCAAAATGGTTTGGGTTTGTYGGGGTTTTTTTGTTTTTGCACGGATGCTTATTCGGTGTGGAAATCAAAGGTTAAAAGTCACTTACACAGCTATTGCTTCCCATGCAGAACCAAATATACACCGTAGAAAATACTGTATTAACTACAATGCAGAGCAGCACTCAATATCTGCAATTGTTCCACTTCAGCTTTAAATACGGGACTAGATTTTAGCGACTAGACATCGGTTAGCATTTTGGTGATATTCACATAGTTTGTGTTAGCTAGGGTGCAATTGGCTGTCTTCAAGTTCTCCTCCCTGAAATCCTCATTGCTATTGTTTACACCTTCCTGGATCTCCATATAATCAGACTTACTAATAGTAGAGGCACTTCTGCTTTTCTTTAGGTCAGGGGAAGAGGGGATCTTTGGGCAGCTGGTTACTTGCAAATATTGAGCCTGCTCCTCTCCCTCGGTCTCCCGGTGGTAGAAGTAATTGAAGTTAGACACTATGACGGGCACTGGTAAGGCAATCGTTAATACGCCAGCGATGGCACACAAGGAACCCACTATTTTCCCCCCGATGGTCGTGGGGACCATGTCTCCGTAGCCAACAGTCGTCATGGAAACCACRGCCCACCAGAAGGCATCGGGGATGCTCGGGAACTGGGACTCGCTCTCGTCGGCCTCGGCGAAGTAGACGGCGCTGGAGAAGAGGATGACGCCGATGAAGAGGAAAAATATCAAGAGGCCCAGCTCCCKCATGCTGGCCTTGAGAGTCTGGCCCAGGATCTGCAGCCCCTTGGAGTGCCGGGAGAGCTTGAAGATCCTGAAGACCCGCACCAAGCGGATGACTCTGAGGATGGCCAAGGACATGGCCTGCTGGCCCTGCTGACCATCCTCTGGCTTCTCGGCCAGCTCYGTCCCTAAGGTGATGAAGTAGGGGATGATGGCTACGATGTCTATAATGTTCATGATGTTGGTAAAAAAACCAGCCTTGCTGGGGCAGGCGAAAAACCTCACCAAGAACTCRAAGGAGAACCAGATGATGCAAAGTGTCTCCACGATGAAGAAGGGGTCTGTGAAAGAGGTGGACTGCTGGTAGCCCATGCTGCTGTTGGAGTAGGTGGGATGGCTCAGCCCGCTGCCGTGCATGTCTTCGTTCTCATCCCGAAAAATGGGCAAGGTTTCCAAGCAGAAGCTGACGATGGAGATTAAAATCACCATGACGGAGACGATAGCTATAATCCTGGCAGGGCCTGAGCTCTCRGGGTACTCAAAGAGCAACCACACTTGTCTCTGAAACTCGTTCTCAGGCAGCGGCCTCTCCTCTTCCTTGATGTAGCCTTCATCCTCCCGAAACATCTCCATGGCCTCTTCCCCCAGTTCGTAGAAGCGGATCTCTTCGGAGAAGATGTCTAAGGGCACGTTAACGGGCCGCCGCAACCTCCCCCCGGACTGGTAATAGTACAAAATCGCGTCGAAGCTGGGTCTGTTCCGGTCAAAGAAATACTCGTTGCGGAGAGGGTCGAAATACCTCATCCTCTTTTTAGGGTCCCCTAGCAAGGTCTCTGGAAACTGGGCAAGCGTCTTGAGCTGCGTCTCGAAGCGCAGCCCCGAGATGTTAATGACCACCCTCTCGCAGCACTCATGGTCCGTCTCGGGGTTGTACGTGTCCTGCGGGTGACCGGGAAGAGCTGCAGCTTCATCTGCAGGATCTCCAGTAGCAACTGTCATATTGGGCTTTAAAAGAAATCCTTATGCTAAACTCTTCCCAGCGCCCGCTGGTGGGATCGGGTTCAGGGCAGGGCTACTATCCTGCAGAAGGACAGGTACGTAGGTTTGGAAGAGTCTCATGAAAAGGCGGAGGGATGAGGTAAAAAAAAAAAAAAAAAAAAGAAGAAGAAAGAAAATTGCCCCTGCTGAGAAAGAGAGAGATGGAATAAAGTTGGGGGGAGGAGAGCAGATCCCTTCTCTAGCACGTCTATTCCCTTCCTGGAGGGGTTAATTTGCCTTCCTCGGGACAGAGTTCAACAACTCCTATCTAAACCCGTTAGGTGGAACAGAGRAAACACCTGAGGAACCGTCACCTGTTCAAAACCAACGCAGAAAAACTGGCATTGGCAAACCGGGGCTTATATTTTTTTTGGCTAAAAATAAAAATTCCAGTTAAAAAAAAATTAAAGAGGCAGAAGGGAAGAGAAAGGAAGGAAGAAAAATAACCCCATCCAACCCTGAAGTGGCGAGATGACCCTGTGGGGTGCCGGGCTCAGCTCATTTCSAGGCATGCAGCTAAGGGTTAATTAACATTTAACCGTGCGATCTCAGGCAATCTACCCTCCAGGAAAGCTCCAACTCGGCTTTTAAGTTTAACACCTTCCCAATCCTCTTTCCCTGCTGACATGCTGCCCTCCCTGCCTGCAGCCAAGCTCTGCGGCTGCCGGAACGTGGAGCCGGCGGTCCCAGATGCCCCGCGGACCACCGCAGTCCCCCTCCTCGACCGCTGGTGTCCCGGCTCCTGTCATTCTCTGCAAACCACCATGGCACACAGAAAACAAATCACATTACCTGGAGAAGCCAAATCTTAGTGTCTCTTAGTAACACCGATTATCTGACCCTGGGGAAATCCTAGAGAGAAATACAGGCTTCCAAGATCCCCATAATTTCCTCTCTCTTCAAAGTTAAAAATAATGGTGAGTCATCGTAGAAAAAGGAGAAGGGACATAAGAGGGGTTAGATTCCCAGATGGTGGAAGTCAGGTCTTGTAATGGTTTGGACTGGAGAGAGAGAGAAAGAGAGACAGAGAGACAGAGAGACAGATTCTTCCCGGGAGCTGTTGCAGATCTGCACTTCAGGGCAGATGAGCGTCTGTCTGATGCCTTCGGTACGACGGTGAAAAGCTGCTAAGCTCAGCAAAACCCGATGTCCCCAGTGTCCTCCGGAGGTGTGGCATCGCCTGGAAAAAACACCGAGAAGGTAGCAAGCTCTGGGGGTTCGCGAGGAGCATCCGCAAAGCCCCGGCTCCTCCGGGCACCCCCTTTCCTGCTCGCCCGCCCAACCTGCACTGCAACACGAGAGAGAGGAGGGCGAGAGCGCCAGCGCCGAGGCGGAAAAAACCAGAGCCCCGTGTCCCTGCGCTCGGCTCAGCCCAGCGGGGCCGGCTGCCCGCCGAGCCCGTGCCAGGCGGAGGAGCGGGGGGGCACCGACGCAGCCCCCCCGGCAGCCGGGGCTCTGCAAAGCCACCGAGGGTCCCCAGCCCCGCCGGCACCCCTCTGCCGGTGTCACCCACCGGACACAGCACCCACGGCCATCGCGCCGCCGTCCCCGCCGATCCAGGAGGCTCCGGCTTCATCCGCCAGACCGAACCCCGCGCCGGTCCCTGCGTGTCCCCCCGCCAAGGCCACCAGCCCCCCGCGGATGGCTGCGAGCACTGCGGGCCCCGGCCGCGGGAYCCACGCCACCTGCATCCGCCCTCCCCATCCTCCCGAGAGCCAACCCCCCGGCCGACCCACCCCCGCGGGAATTCGACTCCGTTGGGTGAAATTTCTCGTGGGGATGTTGAGGTTCATGTCCCCGGTGGGTGCCGGGTCCTCAGCATCCCTGCTCCCGCCGAGCGCTCGCTGGGATCATCCTGCATTGCCTCGCACCATGGAGATGCTCAGCCCAGAGAGGGCCGACCAACCTCTCATTTTTGCTGCTTTTTATTTTTGCTTGGKTTTTTTTGCCCTCCCAAATGAAATAAAAACCCCTCTAACCTCCCTTCTTCAGCTCCAACTCGACTTGTCTACTTTGAGCCAGGATTACAGAACCGGGCAGGGGAGGCAGGTGGAAAATAACCCCGCGGTCCCAATCTCCTCGGCAAAGATTTCAGCCGTCTCCAGGCCATTTATGCCTGTTGGTTCCTCTCTTCATCCCCCGAGGTGCAGATATTGCCGCAGATCCCTCTTTTCTTGGAAATTTCCCTTTTCCGTGCAACCCTCCTCTCCCTTCTCCTTATGCACTAGAAAAAATAGTACAACCCTGACGAGGCTTGCAGCATTCAACCGCTTCGCTTAACCCTTTTCTGCCAGGCCCGGACGAGAGGAGGTCGCATTTGTCCCAGTTTTTCTCCTTTTCCTGCATTTTCTCCCCACCACTCGCTCCCCAGCGACTCGCCGAGGAGTTCAGCTGGGTTTGACCTTCCCTGGCTCCTCCGAGCATCTCGCCAGAACACCACAAACACCATATTTCTGCTGCTGCAGGAAGGATCTGGCAGCCAMAAACCCCCATGTCACCAAAAATCCACCAACCTTCACAACGTTTCATTTATTTTTTTAATAAACATGCAGTTTTCCTCCTGCCCATAAACTCTCTCCTCCCCTTTCTCCCTTCCCCAAACACCCCAGATTTGTTTAACAGCACAGAAATTTACTTTGTTTTTATTTAACATGTTGATTTTTWTTTTGGCATGGGCTCCGGGCTCCTTCCTCCCTCTCCAAACCCAAGCGCTGATGCTCGGTGCTCAGCGGAGAGGGTTACGGCATCATCTCCGTTGACATCACCCATCCCAGCACTCAGTTTCTCCTACTTTCCCCCCATCGCCCGTTTTCCTGCCAAACAACCTCCGCCCGCCCCCCTCTTCAAGCATCTTTAGGGTTAATTCATGCAAATTTGGGGTTTGAAGCGGGGGATGGAGGAAGATTTGCCCAAAGCCCCTCGGGTTTTATTTTTTTTTTTCTTCTCTCTGCCCGCGCCGAGCACTGCAGGCGGGAGTCACACGGTTTGGGGTCGTGTTTGCGACTGAAGCACGACTCCCTCGCTTTGCACCGCTCCTGGGCAGGCTGCGTTCGAGCAGGGGAGCAGCGGGAAGAGGGGGAAAGATGCGGGGATGGGGTGCGGGGGGAGAGAAAAAAGCACCAACTTACACTCGGCTCTGCAGTCAGGCATGCGGAGAATGCACAAGCAGCTGCTCTGCTCCCGCCGCTGCCGGCACCTCTCACCTACAGCCCCCCAAACTCGTACCCCGGAGTCAACCTCCCAAGGCAGCTCGGCTCGTCCATGAATATTCATAAGATTAATATGAGCGTCTTCCCCCCCACCACCCCCAGCTCCCCCCGCAGCCCTCCTCCCGAGCAGGAGACCTAGATTTCAACCACTGGGAAATAATCATATCCCTGGATACACGATGCTGCTTTGCCATGCGGCTCCCATCCATCCCATATATTCTTGGTGATAGCCTGGATCTGCTCCGGGAGATCTGGGGGGTGGAGAAACACCAGCTCCCTGCAGCTTTTGGGAAGGAGATGGGGCAGGATTGGGCTTGCAGAGGGATTGCCCTTGGCTGGGGTGAGGAGGTGAAAAGCAATGATTTTACAGCATTTGGCTTTTGGTGAGGTCCCTTCATGAGGAGGCTTCTCCAAAAAAAAAGAGATGGCCAAGATCCTATAAACACATAAAACCTACGGATCAACCCTTCCTTCAGGCACGGGGTTTGGACCACTCTGCCATCCCCTCCATGGCCCCACAAGGAGCCCCAAAGAAGCAACAAGTCCCAGGAGGCTCCTGGCACCCAAAACACGAGTGCTGGAGGAGGCAGTGGGAAATATTTCTATTCCATACACAGTGGTTAAATTTGTACGGAGTTACCAGTGCTGATGGCGATCGCTCCAGGGAACACCCTGAGGTGGGATAGAGGGCCCTGACCACCCTGAATACCTCAGAAAATCAGTGCCCCTGTCATCCAGGGGSCTGTGGGGACATGGTAGGGATAAACCAGGGTGTTTGAGCTCCCCGAGGTGCCCGGAGCAGTGGGTGGCACTGACAGAGAGTGGGTGCACAATGTGCACCCGCTGCTCCTCCTGACACTCCTCTTCACCTTGAAACAAAAATTGTCTTTTCCCAAGCCCCAGCCAGATCCCAATATTGAAAATAATGTCTAACCCTATAGGAAAACTGGGAATCCTTCATGACCAGCCCTTGCCACTATGGGTTTCCTTCCCGGTGCAGATTTTTAATGTCCCCCGCACCATTTCAGCCATTTCTGGAGGAGGATCTGCCATCCAGCGGGGGTCAAATCCAGAAAATTATTTGCCCGAGGCTGATCCTTATGCAATGTGTGGAAACTGAGGCTGGGCAGGGAACAAACCAAGTGGACATGAAATTCCAATGTGAATTTCCAAGGCGCTCCTCCTGCTGCCGCCTTGCGAAGGCTCCGCAGAACCAGCGGGGTTTGTCATCCAAACAGCACCAGCTCCGCTCAGAGAGCCAAACTCCCATCTCCAGCAAATCAGGGGAATTTCTCTGAATTGAGTGACGCTCTCTCCTGATTTACTACCCTAATTGTGAGCTATTATTATCGTCTGTGTGTCTGCGCTCGCCTCCCTCAGCCGCGCTGACAGCTCCAGACGGATCCCAGCCTCTCCGAGAACCAGACGAGCTGAGCTCTGCACCCACTTGGCTGTTTCACAGGGATTTTAACGAGATGACGCCTTTGCTCGGTATTATTATTAAATAATAATTTCCTCCTGAATTATTTCTCTTATCTCCACGGGTTTTGTAGGCGCCCAAACTGGAATCCTTGCCCCGCCTGYGTGCGCGGTGCTGGGAAAAGCGCTGGGTGGGAGGATGTTCCAGGAACCAGGCGATCCTGTGTCCAGGGTGATCYCTCCTTGTTTCCTTTATTCCCAGGGAAGCCTCCAAGAGCTGTTCAGACCCTCTGTAGGTTTGCAGACAGCCATGAAAATAACAAAAAATGTGCTTTTTTTCCCCCCCATTTTCCCCGTGTCCTGCTGGGAGATGCTCCGAGGAGCGGTGCTGTGGGGGATGGATGAAATCCGCAGGGCAGGGTTGTCCCCAGGCCTGGCCTCATCCAGGACAGCTGAATTCAAGCCCCAGGGTCA